GGTGAGGCTGAAAACCGTTCTTTCTGGGCTGTCCAAGACCTACTAACATCCTCTGCTGTCCTGGTACAATATAGTTCTCACCTTCCTCTGGTAATAACAGCGGATGCATCCCCTTTTGGCATCGGTGCCGACCTTAGCCATAGGTTTCCAAATGGAATAGAAGCACCTATTGCCTATTATTCCCGTACTCTTTCCTCCATGGAACACAAGTATAGTCAATTAGACAGGGAGGCCCTAGTCGCAGTGGCTTCTGTAAAGAAGTTCCACGATTATATTTATGGCCGCCATTTTGATTTGGTCACTGACCATAAGCCTCTTCTGGGGCTCTTAGCTGGGGACCATCAGACTCCTTTGATACTTTCCCCCAGGATGTCCCGTTGGACTGAGTTTTTAGCGGTTTATAATTACACCTTAAGATACCGCCCAGGTAAGGAGATCGTGCATGCTGATGCATTGAGCCGCTGTCCATTGCCCTTGCCCGTGGAGGACCCTGCACCGACCTCTTCTGTCCTCCTTGTAGAGGAGCTGCCCATTCCATTATCTGCAACCGACGTTGCCGCCCACTCGGCAGTTGACCCTTTGTTAGCACAGGTGCTCGACTGGGTGGCAAGGGGGTGGCCATTGGGACAAGTGGCCGAGCAGTTCAAGCCGTTCTGGCTCAGGCAACACGAAATTTCTGTCCTCCGGGGTTGCCTGTTGTGGGGTAATAGGGTCGTTATTCCCCCAAAATTGCGTAATTCTATTTTGGAGTGTTTGCACGAAGCCCACCCTAGTATAATCAGGATGAAGGGGCTTAGCCGAAGTTATGTGTGGTGGCCAGGGATCGACCAGGATATAACAGATTGGGTAGCCAAATGCCAAACTTGTCAGCTGTCAAGGCCAGCAGCACCATCTGTCCCTCCCAGGGAGTGGGAATTCCCGAGGGCTCCATGGTCGCGGGTCCATCTGGATTTTGCTGGCCCCTTTATGGGCCACCAGTTCCTTATTGTGGTGGACGTGTATTCAAGGTGGGTCGAGGTAGAAATAATGCCATCCATCACATCAGAGGCCGTCATACGTGTTTTAAATAAATTATTTGCTACACACGGCCTTCCGGATGTTCTGGTGTCCGATAATGGCCCACAACTGACATCCGCCCCATTTCAAATGTTCCTGGCCAGTTTAGGAATCCACCATGCCCAGATTGCCCCTTATTGTCCCTCCAGTAATGGTTTGGCAGAAAGGGCTGTGAGGTCAACTAAAGAAGCGCTGGCAAGATTAGGACCACGGGGGTGGCAAGAAAGGGTTTCCACATATTTGCTTTCTCAGCACACAACACCTTGTTCAAGCACTAATCGAAGTCCTGCTGAGATGCTGATGGGCCACCGATTACGAACAACACTTGACCGTCTGCATCCTTTATACAACTCAGACTGGCCTACAACAGGCTATTTGCCACCTAGGGTGTTTAAAGAGGGGGATCAGGTTTTTGCACGAAACTATGGGGGCGACCCCCGTTGGTTGCCGGGACAGATTATACAAGTAATGGGTCCCTGTTCTTACAGGGTTCTGCTCGTTGATGGCAGAACCTGGCGGAGACACGTGGACCAGTTACGGAAACGTGTATTAGAAAAAAACCCGGCAGAGGTCATGAGTCCGTCACCTACAACACTGCTAAGTTCCGTGCCAGATCCAACGCTAAGTTCACAAGCAAATGAAAACTTAACGCGGGGCGCCGTGAGGAGCCAACAGTGGCTCAACTTACCTGAGTTCGAGTCCGAGGCTGGGAAGTCTGTTCCAGGGAACATTCCATCAATTGTACCGTTCTCTTCTCCATCCATGCCGGAATCAGCTGCACCTGTTATTGAACCTGAACTACGACGGTCCGGACGAACACGCAGGCGCCCGGCGTACCTTAATGATTACACTTGCGTGATCCAGGAGGGGAGGGGTGTTATGTCTAGCAGGGTTTAGTTATAGTTGTAGTGTTGTGATTGGATGAAACCGATGACGTCATCAGCACGGAAGATTCTTTTGTTAGCTATTGGCTGGAGCAGTTGAGCTGTTCATATATAAGAGCTGTCAACTGCCATTTTTTCTAGCTGAGCCATTACAGTTACAATTACATGGTGAAGCAATAAAGAGTTACAGTTACAATAGTGAGTGCCTCAGTATATATTGCAACAATATAACAGAAAAAATGGAATAGAGAACAGAACAGAATAGCAGCTTGTCTGGCAGCCACCATTTTATCCCCTGCCTGTTTGTGGGTGGGGACAAAATGGCAGCCGTATTCAGGTCTACGTATACTTTTGAGCTGTGCAGCAGTGTATATACAGTCCAAAAGATATATACAGCCAAAAAGCACTAAAGTATACTGCTTTCTCTTCTCTACTCTACTCTCCATTACACTCGATTTCATTCCAAATACTCTTTCTGCAGACCCCTCTAAAGCAGCAAAATGAAACAACATCTTTGGTGGCTGCCAAATGGATGGGACAAAATGTTGGCTGTGTTTGGATTGCCGCCACATGGTCTGGAAACAAATGGCCGGGTCTCCTTTCACAAAAGAGAGCTTCTAAAAGTAATTGTGAGGCATGATGAGCATATGGGGAGCCAGGACCATGTACTGCAGGGGTCCAGCAAGGAGGGATGGGGGGAGATAGGCAGGAGGGCATGGCAGCGACCCTGTGGTGGGTTGTAAGGGCAAACAACCATAGGGTCTCTTCAGTCATCATAATTTGGAAAAGGCGTCATATGAAGCTTTTTTGAAGGGGGGGGGGTTTCTGTCACAATTTCAAAAATTCATTAAATGGCCTGTTTTACCTCAAGGATTATCTATATTTTTATGTATTCTTCCAGAAATAGGGATGGTTTTTTTGCAATACTTGGTTGTCATGTAAGATTGGTATAGATGCAGTCGGATGCTACGGTCATTTATGAAGACTGCATTGGGAAATAGACAAATGACAGTGTGGTAAACACGTAGCCAAGTGAGGATTGGTTTACGAGTCACAGGACAGAGGAAAAAGTCAGCTTTGGTAAGGGCTCAAACCATAGTGTTAATTTGAAAATTAAAGAATATAGGAGTCAGAATGCGGAACTGAAGAAGCTTATTGGATAAGAAGCAAAACATCTTTTTAAAAAACCAATGAAGTTCAGTTGTTGTTGTTGTTGTTTTGGGGGGGAAGCACCTTTTGAGAAAGCCTTGACCTGCATGATTGACAATCACCCTAGATATTGAGTTAGAATTGTTTTGTTTTGTTTTGTTTAACTCTTTGAAGCTGGAATAGGGTGAGTCACTTTTCCAGTAATCAACTATTTAACCTATGTTGTAGTCCCTTTATATAACATTCTAAGTACAGGAAGTCCTTAACCTATGAACATAACTGAGCTCAGGATTATTGTCATCTCTCATGACAGTCATTAAGCAGGTCACTTCATGACTGGGTTCAATTTTACAATTTTTCTTTATAGACGGAAGGTGAAAGTGGTGATCATTAAGCAAATCCATTATTTGCCATGAATATTTTTTGTTAGAAACTAGAAGTTTCCAGCAAAAAAAAAAATCATAAATGACTGCAGGATGCTGCAACTATCCTTTAATGTGGGCAGATTACTGAGCATTCCAAATGTGATCATATGACCATAGGGAGATGGCAGGACCTTAAATCCGGGTCATAGGTAGCCCTAGAGATGTCCATTGTAGCTTTGAATGTTCAGTAAAAAGCTGATTGTAGCTTGAGAACTAGATATAGTTGCAGAAATTACTAATCAATGAAGGAACCAGTTTCTGCTGCAATCTTTCAATCAAATACCACTTTCAGATTTATGAAACCCCAGGAACTCCAAAGAACACTCCAGGAGGGTTAATATACTTTGCAGAGAGTTGGTACAGAGTGATTCACTGATTCACAATAGAAAAGCTTGGCCTTAACCCAGGTTGCTCCAGTTGATAATTATGCATAGTCAATTGCTAGGACAGTTATTGCCTGGTTTATCAAAGAATTGATCTGTTCCTTGGGGGCTTGCAGGGTGATTTTAATATTAGTGAATAAGAGGACAAAACTATAGCCAACTAATCAGAGATTTGTATCAGCATTTGTGAGCAAATCAGTTCCGAAGGATCACCACTGCACACCATCCCCTCTTTTTCTTTTCTTTTCTCCTCTCTCCTCTCTTCTTCTTTCTCTCTCCTCCTTACAGTCTTCTCCTTTCTCTCTTCTCTCTTCTCCTTTCTCTTTTCTCTCTTTTCTGTCTTCTTTTCTCTAGCTTGGTTCAAAATAGCAGTAGCCTATATTTTCTTTCAACTAAAATATGAAAGAGATTATAATCATCAAGCAGAATTCTTTGAAGGCTTAAAAGTAGCACAGGAGTTTCCACGTTGGTCTTTGCTACTGAGGAGAAGGCATATGTCCCGATAAAAGATATTTTGATTTTACAGCATGTTTCGTAGGTGATCACTACACATGATGTGCACCAGAGAATTCCCACTGTCCAATTGCTACAGAATCAATTCATAGCCTCCCCCACCCCGTTTAAATGAAAGTCTTATTTGTATTTAATCCCCACTTAATTTTTACATATTCTAGTGTGCATATGGTGAGGGGACATGATGGCTCAGCAGTTAAAAACACCGAGCTTGTCAGCTGCAAAGATGACAGCCCAGATTTGAGACCCAAGCCCTGCAAAATGGGGTGAGCTCTGGTTCTTGTCCCAGCCCCTGTTCACCCAGCAGTTCAAAGTTGATAAATAGGTACCACATTGGTGGGGAAGGTTATAGCATTCCATGCGCCTTTGGCATATAGCCATGCTGGTCACATGACCACAGAAAATGTCTTCAGACAATGCTGGCTCCCTCAGCCAAGAAACGTAGATGAGCACCATTCCTTGAATCGAACACAATTGGATAAGGAAACCTTTACCTTTAGCATGCATAGGAATTAAGATGACCAGTAAAAACAGATTTAAAATTCATATTTAATCTATATATTTAGTCAGAGATATCTATCACGTACTGAAATATCTCAATAAATCAATTTGTACTATTTATTTTTTTAATTGCCTTTCAGAAGGAATAAAAAGTTATGAGCTACCCAAATCTCCAGGGAAGAATAGGAATTGCAACATAGGAGGCCAATCTAACTACAGATTGTTTTCTGGTTTAAATATGCAAATGGGAAGAGCTGCAACATGGAGAAATAAAGAATATTATTCTTACAACTTTCTTTTCATGAGCTGATGTTTATTGTTCAGTTCAGGTCTCATCACAATGATAAAACATTTGGGGAAAAAGATGCACACCAATAATCCAGCACTGGAGGAGATCATGGAAAAGATCTCCACAGCCAGCATATATTTTCCCCTTGTGCTTAGATAGGTTGGAATAAAGCACAGCCAAACACTGCAGAAGACCAACATGCTGAAGGTGATGAATTTGGCTTCATTGAAGCTGTCAGGTAACTTCCTAGCTAGAAAAGCAGCAGAGAAGCTAACCAGAGCAAGAAAACCCATAAAGCCCAAAACACAGTAGAACATGACCGAGTCTTCATTGCACTCCATGATCACTTCTTCAGACATTGACTTTGTATCAAAATCTGGATATGGTGGAGATGTTATCAGCCATGCAGCACAAAAAGATATTTGAACAAGGGAGCAGGACAGAAGAATGAAACTGATCATTCTCCCCCCGACCCATTTCCTCAATTTGGAACCAGGTTTGGTGGCCATGAATGCTAGAACCACAACAAAAGTTTTGGCCAGTACACAAGAAACTGCCACAGAAAAGATCAGTCCAAAAGCTGGTTGTCGAATGAGGCACACAATATTATCAGGTCTCCCAACAAATAGAAACACACAAAGGAAAGAGAGGAGGAGGGAAACTAAGAAAGTGTAGGTGAGATTCCGGTTGTTTGCTTTCACAATGGCAGTGTCTTTATGTTTCATGAAGACTATTATTACCAAAATTGTCATCAAAGAAAAGCAAAGAGAGAGAACAGTCAGACTAATCCCCAAGGGTTCTTCATAGGACAAAAAAGTGATCCGCTTTGGAATGCACATATTTTTGTCAGGATTTGGATATTGATCTTCTGGACATGGAGAGCAGTCATCCTTGTCTGAAAAAGAACAGAGTGGAACTGATATAGTTGATTCTAGATAGTGTTGTATCCTTGTTGCTTACTCCCATTAAATTTGGAAATTTCCTACCCTTCTCCTTTGATATTTTCCCCTCTGGGCACAAATGGCAATCATAGCAGCAAAATGACTCTCCTTCTTTCTTGGCCTTGCTGTATCCTGTCTCACAAGGATCATTACACAAAGATAGAGGTAATGCCTATCAATGAATGAAGAAGAATATTTTAAAATACAGAGAGGAAAGGAAGTGCTTGGAGAAATACTGTTACTGTGGAATCAACAGAACAAAAATAGATTAATAAGCAGAAATAGTGCATTGACATCATTTCAATATGGAATTGGATTGAAATTGTCTTTACAAGTTGACAAATAATTCATTAAATATCTATCTTTATTGGCGTGTATGGCCCTTCATAACTATCATCCCTATTATCCAAAGACAATTTCTGTGCTGGTTAATTTTAAAATCTCCAGACTGATGAAATCTGGTACACTGGCGGAATATTTTGAGATACAGAGGGGAGAAGAAGTACTTAATAAGCAGAAGTAATGTGATGACATCATTTTGAGATGCATTGTAATTGATCTCAAATAATAAATCATTAAATATCTATCATTATTGGCATCTATGGCCTTTCATAACTATCAACCTTACTCTCCAAAGACAATTTCTGCTCTGGTTAGTTAAAGAGGTCAGCAGACTGGTGTAATATAGTACACTGGACTTTAGCTCTTACTTCTAAACCATGAAAACTATAAACCATAACTAACAGGGCCAAAATAAAGGGTACAATATTTTATGCCAACTATTAGAAAAGTAAACATTCTTACAGATAATGTTTTCCTTCTCCAGGACATTTCTAGTTAGTACAAACATTATTCAGAGATGATAACTTTCATTAGTAATCATATTTTTATAGTATATAAATGAAGACAGACAAATCTAGATTGAAACAGCTAACCTGATTAAAGCCTACTGGCCACGTGATGGAATCTACAGAAATATTGAAGAACTCATCCGCTGGAGCTGTGGGATCTACCATTCCAACTTTGACCCTAAGAAAAGACTGGTTTGGAAATGTGATCCAGTTGATAATATCATATCCACCAATGAATTCTCCATTTTTATCAAAGGAGATCTTTTCACCAACACTGTTGTTGAATCTGATGCTTTTCAGAAAAGAATGAACCTGAAATACAGCAACACAGAAAAAGAGAACAGGATAAAGAGACAGAAATTAATTCATATGTTCAAAACATATATATGGATGCCTCTTTAAAGATATATATATATATATAATATATAATTTTGGAGGGACATCTAATTCTTGGTAATGCAACTGTTGTACCATATTTTCTCCGCTTGTTGGTGACTGCCTTCACTGTGTTCTATGATATATCCAGTATGTCAGAAATTATTTGTAATCCATTCTTCTGACTGATACCTTCCTACAATGAGATCTCTTTGATGTTTTTTTTAACGCTCTTTATAGACCAGTGATGGCTAACCTTTTTGCCATCGTGTGCCAGGAGGGGGGGGCGGGGAAGGTTTGTGTGGATGCATGCCCACACCCATAATTCTATTCACCCCACCCTGCACATGTAAACCACCTCTCCCCCCCGCTCCTGGCACGGAATGGCCCAGTTTCTCACCTGGCTCGAGATCCTCTCTATGCATCTGGGGAGGGCCTCTCTAGGAGTCTCTGGAGGCTGGGGACAGAAAAAAATGTCACTTCCTGTCCAAACGGGAGTTGGGAAATGGGCCGTTTCAGGCACTGGAGGGCCTTCGAGGAGTGGGGAAAGCTGTTTTCGCCCTCCCCAGATGCATAGAGAGGATCTGGAGCCAAGTGAGAAAGAAAAACGGACCTTCCCCACCCCACCCCACCCCACCCCACCGCAGGCCCTCCAGAGGCAGGAAACAGCCTGTTTCCCTACTTCTGGTGGGCCCAGAAATCCCGAAAATCAGCTGGCCGGCACGCGCATGTGTGTCAGAACTGAGCTGGAATGCCCACTGATACAGCTACATGTGGCACCTGTGGCACGCATGCCATAGGTTCGCCATCACAGTTATAGACCATAGGTTTTCCTGTAAGTGGCAACTGAGTAAGTGTCAGAAAACTCCTACTAGAACAGCTGCACTTTACACAAGCTATATTAGAGACATTTGAATTGATGCAGGTGTGTACTGACTACTAGTTTCCATCAGTTTGAATGTGATTAATTATGAATTAATTATCCCGACTTACAAGAAGATGTGTACACTTATACAACCAATGTATTTTATATGTTTATCGAATATGTTTATTGGTATTTTTCCCCATAAAGGTTTCAGTTATTTTCCAATTGAATTGTACAGCTTTCAGACTTAATGTCAATACCTCTAAAGAATATTATTTGCTAAAGTTTACTGACAGATGTTGCAAGTACTGATATTGGGGTTTCTTCACTACTTTAATTACAGACTTACCTGCCACCACACTTGATTGCGAAACTGTTTTCTTCCTTCTTTCACTATTGTTGTTTCCCTGGATTTGGACATATATAGAGATTGTAAAGCATGTGCCACAACATGGACTGCATTGTAAATATTGTAACTCTGTCCACTCATGTGTGTTTCAAACACAGATGTGGGAAGGGTCTCAAGCCTCTCCTGCCCAGTACATTTCTTCTCAAAGTTCTCCATTTTTGAGTTTGCAAAGAAACAATCAAATGCCTGTTGCCAAAAATCTTTCCGAAAATGATCGTGTTGGTTGTTGTTTGGACTTAAGTTCTGAATAAATTCCTGGAATTTTGGGACTGTCTTTGTGTGAACTGCAAAGGATAAAGCACCATGTAGGAAATGAATATTCCAAGATTTATGAACAGACATTGAAGTGTAATCTGTTTGAGCAGTTATAAGCCAAATCTTATTCTTCCTTGGTATATCCTCCACTTCTGAAAACTGGAGGAAAGTTCTCAGAACTGATATGGACTGAATTTCACCATATAAGATTATCACATTGGCTGTGCTGTTCATGAGAACATGGTATATATGTAATCCTTCATCTATGGTATCAGTAAAATCACTGTAAAACGCTACATTTGGTAACTCTGCTATGAATTCTGTGCAGATGCCATGCTCAGAAAATGTGGGAATCATCTCCTGGACAAATTTCTCTCCTTTCTCATCTTTTACAACAAGAATTCCAATCCAGATCCATCTAAAAGACAACAGTAGCTGCAAGAGGCCCTTGCGTTGATGGGATTCATCTGGAAACATTTGTTGGAAGAAAATTGATTGAGTTTTTTTATCCATGACTGGAGCAGAGCCATAGGTCAACTACCGAAAAATAAACATATGCAATTCCAAAGGTCTATGTGAGCCTCTGAAAACATGAATATTCATTTCTTTGATTGCCCTTGAGTCTATGTAATGAAATACTAGTTGTTTTTATTTTGAAATATCAACCAAGGTGTCGCTCCTAAATTATCATTAAATACGTTTTCCTGGAAGTAGTCTCATTTCAACCTTTATTCAATGTCTAGAATTGGGGAACAATTTGCTATGCCAAATATTCCCACTGGCTGTTCAGAATTACAATTATTCTTGTTGCTATAGTGATCCTACCAAGCAAAAAATAATAACTAGGAATCTGAAAGCTCTTTCTTTTTTTAAAAAATAGATAAAACGAAATTTATGGCAGAATAATGTATATCTTCAGTACATCTTACCTGAGGAACTTTGTAGATGCACAATACAGTTGCCATGTAAAGAGCGATGTCAGGTCCACCAATGACTGCAGCCAAAGTTTTTGGGACCCCACACTTGTAGTTAGGGATGAATTTTCCCTGAGTGAAAGGCAGCAACATTGAGGCAAAGTAAGTCCAGCCTGGACTAAAATGGCTGTTAAAAATGTGGAAGCCTAGCGTGACATTGGGTAGGATTTGGGGATTTTCATTTATCTGTTTTATAGTAAACGCTAAGGCCAGAATATGCTGGTAATTCTGAAAAAATATTCTGTAAAACCAAATAATCAAAATTAAAAATGTATTACAAAGTATTTCTTCTTATTATGGCACTTGCCATCCTTCACTACAATACATTTATTGAAATGTGTTTCAGTACAATATTTTTATTATTTTTTTATTATTCATCTAAGATAGTAGAGCCTTGATAGTACAGTGGTCTACGCGCTCTCTTATTAACACAGCTGCCTGCAATTTCTGCTGGTTTGAATCTCTCCAAGGCTCAAGGTTGACTCAGCCTTCAATCCTTTCTAAGGTAGGTGAAATGAGGACCCAGTTTGTGGGGGCAATAAGCTGACTTTTTATAAAATATACAAAAGTATGAAGGCTATTGCTTAATGCATTGTAAGCCGCCCTGAGTCTCCGGAGAAGGGCAGCATATAAATCAAATTAAAAAAAAAAAATCTTGGAAAATGCAAAGCAAAATACTGGCACATATATATCCTCCCAAGAACTGGAGTTATTTTTAATAGAAAACAAACCCTGGCTTGAAATTGGAAGCATCATTTCCTAATGCATGAGAAAGGCAAAGTATCCAACCACAGTTTTTAACTATGGATGAAATTGCTAAATTTACATACCAGAAATATCAAATGAGAAAAATATCATGGGAAATATGTGAAATATTTCCCCCCTCCCGCCAAAAAATCTTAGTTGTAGTTATATCTGAACCATGGTGGCACAGTGGTTGGAATGCAGCTTTGTAAGCTAATTCTGCCCACTGCCAGGAATTTGATTCTGACCAGTTCAAGATTGATTCATCTTTCCATCCTTCCAAAGTCAATAAAATGAGGACCTAAATTGATTTGGGCAATATGCTACTACAAACTGCTCAGAGAGTGCTGTGAAGCACTGTGGAGCTATTGCTGTCTTCATAAATTAAGTCGCACATCCCTCTATATTTATATATATATTTAAATGTGGGTTTTTTATATAAACAGAGACTTGGACCTTTTTTTAACTTTACATGGAAACTGAAGTAAATTATAACTTCACATAAAATAAATCTAGCATCTTGTTTAAGATGCTTCTTCTGATGCTTTTGTCACTAAAGGAAAACACTTCAAGCATCATGTGATTTAACAGCAATGTCCAGAACTTGACATGATGTTTGTTAGAGCAAATTTATTTCTCTATAGCTGTGCCTATTAATGGCTTTTGGAATGGACAGATGCATAAGCCAATCAGAGGGCAACTAATATGTTTGAATCTCCCTGGTCCTACCCTAACTGTCATAGTTAGCAGTATAAAAGGAGATTCTTGTCAGAAACTCTTTACTCTTCGATCTTCACTCATCTTAGCTATTTGGTCTTAGGTCTTAGATCTTAACTCTTCTAGGATCTTCCGTTAAACAACTGTGAGCACTTTGGAAGTCTGTTAGAAGAGCAGTTCTGGTGGTTTATAATAATATTTCTTCTGAGGAAGAATAGTCATAGATAACATAGTTTAGAGAGAATAGATATAGATATATAGCTGACAGGACAATTCATCATAGTAACTAAGTGTTGTTTATTAATTGTATAGATATTGTTATGTTTTTATTATGTAAATAAAAAACATTTACTGTTAAATGATTTAAAGGCTCATTTTGTTAAAGTAGAAATTCACAGAGACAAAAGTTCATGGTTCATTGATTTTATTAACCTCCACAACAATGTTGTACTTACATAAGTCCATCATGAAATCCCTGAGAAGGATTTTGACTGAAATCAATGGGTTTAGAAAATGTAAAGAATACAGAAATAATGCCAGCAATGTTAATCTCTCCAAGCTGATGATGTGTATGATGAATAGGAAGAGGCTCACGAAAATCACACTGAAGGCTAGGATCCTTGCACACCACTTGAGGCATTACTATTAACAGTAACTGCATGAATGCTAACATCTTCCATGGGTGTCTTCTTTTTCTGTATGCATGTCTCTGTCTGCAACAAGATCTTTGAAGTAGATCAGACTGACCTGTCTTCTTGAGATGTTTTTCAAAAAGAAATAGAGAATGTAACATACTATCAAATCAACTCACAAAGCTTTGGGCTTCCATCCATGGGATGGAATATCATGAGAACAATAAATAACATCCTTCAGGGTCAGCTCCTCCTTTTTCTATGGAGACCCATAGGATTTGGGCCCATAATTCCCTAACAATAGTGATATTGTCACCTATGTAAACATCTTCAAAACATCTGATGGCCTCCTGAGGCAAAAAAGAATGAGCTACAAGACAAAAATAATATCCTAATATCTCTAAACCAAAATAGAGATAATTATGGGCATATCTATAGGTATTGATTATAGCTACTGTAGATCTATTCTATTCTATTCTATTCTATTCTATTCTATTCTATTCTATTCTATTCTATTCTATTCTATTCCATTCCATTCCATTTTATTCTATGCTATGCTATGCTATGCTATGCTATGCTATGCTATGCTATGCTATGCTACACTATGCTACGCTACGCTACGCTATGCTACGCTACTCTACTCTACTCTACTCTACTCTACTCTACTCTACTCTACTCTACTCTACTCTACTCTACTCTACTCTACTCTACTCTACTCTACTAAGTTTTTGGGACCCCACACTTGTAGTTAGGGATGAATTTTCCCTGAGTGAAAGGCAGCAACATTGAAGCAAAGTAAGTCCAGCCTGGACTAAAATGGCTGTTAAAAATGTGGAAGCCCAGCGTGACATTGGGTAGGATTTGGGGATTTTCATTTATCTGTTTTATAGTAAACGCTAAGGCCACGATATGCTGGTAATTCTGAAAAAATATTCTGCAAAACCAAATAATCAAAATTAAAAATGCATTACAAGGTGTTTGTTTCTTATTATGGCACTTGCCATCCTTCACTACAATACATTTTGTGGAATGTGTTTCAGTACAATATTTTTATTATTCATCTAAGACCTTGGAAAATGCAAAGCAAAATACTGGCACATATATATCCTCTCAAGAACTGGTGTTATTTTTATCACAAAACAAACACTGGCTTGAAATTGGAAGCATTCTTTCTTAATAATGAGAGAATGTAGTAATAATGATTACTATTAACATGAATGCTAACATCTTCCATGAGTACCTTCTTTTTGTGTTCACATGTCTCTGTCTGCAAGAAGATCTTTGAAGTAGATCAAACTGACCTATCTTCTTGAGATGTTTTTCAAAGAGAAATACAGAGTATAACATACTATCAAATCATCTCAAAAATCTTTGGGGCTTCCATCCATGAGATGGAATATCATGGGAACAATAAATAACATGCTTCTGCTTTGTTCCTCCATTTTCCATGGAGACCCATAGGATTTGGAAGAGACAAGCAAAATGATGCCATTGTGATAGTGACACTGTCACCTAAGCAAACATCTTCAAAAGATCTGAGGGCTTCCTGAGGCAAGAAGGAATGAGCCACAAGACAAAAATATTATCTTGAGATCTGTAAACCAAAATAGAGATATAATGTAGGCATATTTATAGGCATTGATTATAGGTACTGTAGATCTGTCCTGTCCTGTCCTGTCCTGTCCTGTCCTGTCCTGTCCTGTCCTGTCATGTCCTGTCCTATCCTATCCTATCCTATCCTATCCTATCCTATTCTAGAATCTTCCAGTCCAATCCCCTGCTTGAGCAGGAGATCCTATACCATTTCAGATAAATGATTGTCCAGTTTCATTTTGAAAGCCTCTAGTAATAGAGCATCCACAACTTCTGAAGGCAATCTATTCCATTCATTGATTGCTCTCTCTGTTAGAAAATTTCTCCATAGTTCTAGGTTCTTCTCTCCTTGGTTAGTTTCAATCCATTGTTTCTTATCTTGCGATTTGGTGCTTTGAAAATAGGTTGACCCCCTCATCATTGTAGGAGCCTCTTAAATATTGGAACACTGGTATCATATCTCTACTAGTCCTTCTTTTCATTAGATTAGACATACAATTCCTGAGTGCCACTAAAGAAGACTCATCACAGTCTTCCCTAGTAGGACACTTAAAAAAAGGAAGTGCTGGCAAAACAATACAGGTTAGTGGGAGACATTGTAGTCTCTACCTATTTAAATCTCATTTCTATCAGTGAAACACAACAAAGAGTACTTCCAAAGACACTACAAATGTGATCCAGTGCTCACCCAGAGACCAGAATGATTTCATCAAGTGGCATATAGAATTATAGCCTGCCTTTCAGACAAGTGCTGCAACAACTCTATGTACTCAACAGACCAATGATCATTTATGTTATTCTATACAATATTCTATATTGTGCATATGAGTTAAGACCAGTAAAGACAATTTAATGATTCACAAAAAATCTATATATTTAGCGGAAGATTTGTTCATGGCAAAATTGTAACCAATCAAATAAGGAGGAAGAATTCCCATTTTTCTGTAAAAGAAGTAATATTTTTTTCACTCCTTAACCCCTCTATATACTTCCATACTAATATATATCAATAAATACATTTATGCTATTGTTGGTTTATTTATACAATTTGTTCTGAGATATCCAAATCTCAAGGGCATACAACATGGAATACCAATAAAAGTGTACATTGCATCTTGGGTTAAATGTCCACATTTTTCAATATGTAACTATAAAGAATATCAAGCAAACAAAAAGATTTCTTAAAACTTTCTTTTCATGAGCTGATGTTTTTTGTTCAGTTCAGGTCTCATCACAATGATAAAACACTTGGGAAGAAAGATGCACACCAATAAGCCAGCACTGGAGGAGATCATGGAGAAGATCTCCACAGCCAACATATATTTTCCCCTAGTGCTTAGGTAGGTTGGAATAAAGCACAGCCAAACACTGCAGAAGAGCAACATACTGAAGGTGATGAATTTGGCTTCATTGAAACTGTCAGGTAACTTCCTAGCTAGAAAAGCAGCAGAGAAGCTAAGCAGAGCAAGAAAACCCATAAAGCCCAAAACACAGTAGTACATGGTGACTGATCCTTCATTGCATTCCATAATGATTTCTTCAGATATTGATTGCATATCAAAATCTGGGTATGGTGGGGATGTTATCAGCCACACAACACAAAAACCTATTTGGACAAGGGAACAAGCGAGAAGAATGAAATTTACCATTCTTCCCCCCACCCATTTCCTCAATCTGGAACCAGGTTTGGTGGCCATGAATGCTAGAACCACAACAAAGGTTTTGGCCAGAACACAAGAAACTGCCACAGAAAAGACGAGGCCAAAAGCCGGTTGTCGAAGGAGGCACACAACCTTATTGGGTCTTCCAATAAATAGAAAGACACAAAGGAAAGAGAGGAGAAGAGAAATTAGAAGTGCATAAGTGAGATTTCGGTTGTTGGCTTTGACAATGGGAGTGTCCTTGTGTTTCATGAAGATGGTGATGACCAAAGATGTCATTAAAAAAAAGCAAAGAGAAAGAACAGTCAGACTGATACCCAAAGGTTCTCCATAGGACAAAAACGTGATCTGTTTTGGAATACAGGTATTTTTGTCAGGGTTCGGATAATGGTCTTCTGGACACCGAAAGCAGTCATCCATGTCTGAAAAAAAGCACAATAGAGTGGACATAGTGGATTAGAGACCATGTTGCACTCTCATGGCTTAGTTTCATTATGTTTGGAAATTCCCTACCTTTCTCCTTGGATATTTCCCGCTCTGGACATGGAAGGCAATTATAGCAGCAAAATGATTCCCCTTCTCTCTTGGCCTTGCTGTATCCTGCCTCACAGGGATCATTGCACCTAGAAAAAGGTGATCCCTATTCATGAATGAAGAAGAAGTTTTTAAGGTACAGAAGGGAAAGGAAGAGCTTGAAGAGATATTATTACTAGGTAATCAACAGATTAAGGAGGGAATGATAAACTAAGAACCTTCCCAAATATACCAGATAGGAAATATGATCAAATGAGCTAATTTTACCTTACCATAGGACTATTAACAGGTCATTGAAAGTATTATTTCCTGCCATCGCTTTTACAACCTCAGAATGCTGAGTGGTTCCTTTCTGTGGTTTTTTCTCTGCCCATTATGCATTTTCTTAAAATATTGTTATTAGGCAGCAACTCTTCACCTCCTCTCAACCTACCCCAAGGTCTTCCAAGATCATTCTCTCAAGCCACTCCATTAAGAATTATGTTCTTTGATGAAGCATACTTTAAAGTATGAAGACTTTGAGACCAATTATTCTACAACTAATTTGTTAAATATCCAAGGTCCTCTGAAGCTGTCATGGAGCCACCTTTTCCACAACATTCCTCTAAAAGGGAGTTCGATACTTAACAAAAATTGCCCAATTTTTGTAAAAAATAAAATTTTAATAGGAGGCAGATCAGGGCTTTGTTAAGAGGTAAAGGAATACTTCACTCAAAGATGAATTAACTATTACTAGAACCCACTCATACAAGATTTCTAAGCTACTTTAAAAGAGGTAAGGTGTCAGGGTTCCAAGTTTTCTTTCCCCCAAGGAAAGAAAACTCTGAGGCTAGAAGTTCCTCAAAGTTCCATTTTATTAGAGATGTCATATTGGCACATCTGGGAAAGCGCAAATCTGAAAGCTTCCAGGTTTTCTCCACTCATAGAAAAAATCCAAGTCCCTGCCCAGCACCCACATGTCCATCACATGGCCCAATCAATGCAGCATTCAAAATGGAGAGGCCTCTGAGTCACACCCCTCCAGGTACAGAAATGTCAACATTCCTATAGATATCCCCCACCGCTAACTTCTGTAGGTTAGCACAGGAACAAAACTATGGGATTTCCGTCAATAAAGATAATATTTTATCTACATAGATGTAGGCAGAGAAATCTAGATTCATATATCTAACCTGATTAAAGCCTACTGGCCATGTGATAAAATCCACGGAGACATTGAAGAACTTGTCTGGAGGCGCTGTAGGATCTACTGCTCCAACTTTGACCCTAAGAAAGGACTGGTTGGGGAATGTGATCCAGTTGATAATATCAAATCCACCAATGATTTTTCCATTTTCATCAAAGGAAATCTTTTCACTAACACTGTTGTTGAATATGGCATTTCTCAGAAAATAATGAAGCTAAAGAAGATGAGAGAGGGAGAGAGGGAGGAAGAATTTTTTTTTTGTTTTATTCTAGTTTTTAGACCAGCATCAAACAAATATCATAGCAATTACTCCAAAATATACAAATAAAATACCATACGTCTAATATTCTAACATAATATTTCATAGTTGTTAACATAGAAATACAGAATATAAATTGTAAATTTGAATTTACAATTTGAATTTGCCTGCAAAATTGCCTGCCAAATTGCAGGCAGCCGGCAATCAGCAGAAGTAGCCTGCAGTTCTGCAATCTAACCACTGCACCATCCAGGCTCTTATCAGTCCTTTTTCTTCCATTCAAGGTTTGGTTGAGAATGACTTAATCTAAAAGTTGAAAAGTAGGCATCAAGGTACTTTGAACGATCAAAATTGATGTTCATTTTTTTAAAAAAAACCCTGACACTGAATCTATTGGAAACTAATGGAATGTTAAATTTCTAAGAGTATATTGAACATTTTGGATCAAACTCAGTGTAAATATTCCAAGCAAAGCATCTAGAATAAAAGGCTGTTAAGCTGTGTTTCAGCACATAATTCAAAAGTAATGCATTTTTATAATTTTAATATGAGCATATAAATATTTTAGCTGGTCAAGGCATTGCTATATTTCACATTTAGACAAAATACCAATACCCTTACAGAATATATTAGTTAGCTTTTATGGACATAAATTGCAACTACAGATATTGTGAGATTTTGGCATTTCTGTGCTTAAAATCTTACCTGCCACCAGAACTTGTGATTGTGAAACTGTTGCCTTCCTTTTTTTGCTATTATTCTTCCCCTGGATTTGGATAAATACAATGATTGCAAAGCATGTGCCACAGCATAGACTGCATTGTAAATATTGTAGCTTTGGCCTCTCATGTGTGTTTCAAACACAGATGTAGGAAGGGTCACAAGCTTCTCCTGTCCGGTACATTTTTTCTCAGATTTCTCCATTTTTGAGTTTGAGAAGACACAATCAAATGCCTGTTCCCAAAAATCTTTTTGAAAATGATCTTGTTGATTTTTAGTTGGATTTAGGTTTTGAAGAAATCCCTGGAAGTCTTGGACTTCTTTTGTGTGAACTGCAAAGGATAAGGCCCCATGTAGGAAATGGATGTCCCAAGATTTATGAAATGAACTGGAAGTGCAATCTGTTTGAGCAGTTGTAACCCAGATTTTTGTCTTCTTTGGTATATCCACTACTTCTGATAATTGGAGGTATGTTCTCAGAAGTGATATAGATTCAATTTCACCATAGAAGACTATTACATTGGCTGTACTGTTCATGATAACTTGGAATATATGGACACCTTTGCCTATTAGATCATTAAAATCAATGTAAAAATCTACCCTTGGGAACTCTTGTATGAAATCAAAGCAGATGCCATGTTGGGAAAATATGGGGAGTACCTCCTGTACAAATTTATCTCCCTTGTCATCCTTCACAACAAGAACCCCAATCCAGATCCATTTAAAATACAGCAATAACTGGAGGAGGCCACTACATTGGTGGGATTCATCTGGAAACATTTGTTGGAAGAAAACTGCTTGAGTCTCTTTATCCATAAGGGGAGCGGAGCCATAGGTCAACTATAGAAAGATAAATATTTGCAATTGCAAAGTTGTATGGGAGCCTCTGAGAACGCATTCAATTTTAGGGTGCTCTTGAATTTGTGTATTGAAACATTGTCTAAATAATTTTATTCATTTCATGACTACCTTGGCTTCAATCTTAGTACTCAAGAAATGTTTTTCTTCCTCAAAAACTCTTATTGTTGTATTGTTGTTGCTTTTGAGGAAACATAAAAATGACCATTCTGGAAAAGGAAAGAATAAGTTTCAACTTTACTTCAGTGTAGGAATATTTACCTGGGAAGGAGAGTATTTGTGGCTTGGGACTGAAATGAGAGGTCTGTAGCTTGGTTGTTGTTTTTGTTGCTGTTCTTGTTGTTTTGCAGATGTTTCATTTTTTTCACACTGAGGATGTTACCTTGTTTGGGTAATGAAACATCTGCATGAATACAACCAAGCTCATAGAGCACCAAGGACCTCTCATATTTACCTCTTCCCAATATTCCCATTGTCTGATCAGGTTTATCATTATTTGTGTTCCCCTGCTAATCCAATCAAGTATAAATGAATGCTAAACATTATGAGGCTCTCTTCTTTCTACCCCCTTTAATGGATAAACGATTTCCTAGAGAGGGAAACATCTCTAGGATACCCAAAATGCCACAGGTGTTCTTTTTTTCCTCCACAAAACTAAAACATTAATACCAAGTCTACCTTACAGTCCAAATAAATACTTTGGACGTTTAGGAAGTCAAATCTCTGTTTGCTTTTCAAGAAACATTTCTGTCTCCATGCTCTCCACTTCATCAATGCATATTTATTCTTTTTCTCTTTCTATTAACTTTTACCTTTATTTGGAGTTTGAAATTCAGTTGATTACCTCAACCAAGTTAGATCATTAGAACATCTTGTACTTTTGCTATTAATCCAAGAAAAAGTTGATTTCTTGGATGCCATGTCTTCATCTGTGGTCATAAATGCTCACTGAATAACAAGGAATAGATGATTGTGTGATAGCTGGATCCAATTAATCAATATTGATTATCAGCCATTTTAAAGTTTCCTTTCTGAGTATGTATCAAAATACAGCCTGAACTCTTTATCATAAAAGCAAAACAATCCATGTTTGTTCAGAAAGTGCTGTAGAACTTCAACACATCTTACCTGAGGAACTTTGTAGATGCACAGAATGGTCGCCATGTAGAGACAGATGTCTGATCCCCCCATGACTGCAGCTAAAGTGATTGGCACTCCACAGATGTAGTTAGGGACGAATCTGTCCTGGTTGAAGAGAAGCACCATTGAGGCAAGATATGTCCAACTTGGACTGGAATTGCTATTATAAAGGTGGAAACCCAATGTGACATTGGGTAGGATCTGGGCATTTTCATTGATCTCTTTAAGAGCAAACGTTAGAGCAAGTATATGCTGATAATTCTGAAAGGATACTCTGCAACAAGCATTACATAATATATTAAGAAAGGTATTATTTAGAATATGCAATGTTTCAGTAGAATATTCAGTGGGACATACTTTTGTATTATATTTAGTGCAATATATTTATCCTTCTACTAGGATCCTGGAAAATGCTTAGCACAAATATAGCACATATGCTATATTTGCACAAGAACTTGTGGTTTTTTTAAAAAAAAAACTTATAATACCAGCAAACACTTGCTTGAGGTTGGTAGAATTATTTTGTAATATATGAGAAATGCCTAATAGCAAACCATATATTCCTAGAAATTCATTTTATTCAGAAGAATGTAACTCTATTTTGTTACAAATAAAATCAACTGAGAAAGGGTAATCACTGCTCTTAAATACCATACATATTTTTGTGGTAGTTACACCTTCATAATTTTATCTGTTTCCAGAGTCTATACATAGAAATAAGTATGATTAAATGAGCTTTGGTCTTTTTATTGACTGATTAATCAAACAATCTCAGGGTGATTCTGGGCAGCTTTCAAATAAAAAGTTTTTATCCACTTCATGTGGAAAGTGAAATGGAGGTTGACCATAGATTGATACATCTTTTATTAAGAGGGATATTTCAGACACTTTTTCAATGACAAACTTTCAGGGAAATATTTTGATCACTGTTGTGGCTGAACAGCAAGTTATAGAGGTTGATTATAAATGAAAGATGTGCTTACATAACTCCATCTTGAAGTGCCTGAGAAGGGTGTTGACTAAAATCAATAGCGTCAGAAAATGTTGAGAATACAGAAATAATGCCAGCAATGTTAACATCTCCAAGCTGGTGATATGTGTGACGAATAGGAAGAGGCTCGTCCAAGTTACACTTGCAGACCACTTGAGGCATTATTGTTAACAGTAGCTTCATGAATACTAACATCTTCCATGAGTGTCTTCTTTCTTTGTATAAATGCCCCTGTTGGCAACAGCATCCTTGAAGTAAATCAGACTCACCTGCCTTCGTGAGATGTTTTTCAGAGAAAAATAGAGAATGCAACATGCTACCAACTTAAATCACAGAGCTTTGTGGCATCCAGCCATGGTTTGGAATATCATGGAGAACATTAATAACATTCTTCAGGCTCAGTTCTTCCATTTTGCCTGAAATCCCATGAGTTTGGAACAGGAATGCAGGTAATGTTTAATTATAGTTGAGATAATAACCTATTCAGAATTCTGAGCTCTTGAACTATGTCACAACTGAAAAGAAAATATGCCTGGTTCCCTTGAGACAATAAGCAGTGATATCTCAAGAACATTGGATTAAAATTAAATTCCTTTATAGTCAAACTTTGCTTCTTATTGACACGTCTGTATCATTTTCTTTGCAACAATTTTAAGTGGGCTTTCATTGGTATTGTTGGACTGCTCAGTCTAGGCTACACTTCTGGAATTTCAGGTTGTCTTTTATCTAAATACTGACCAAATCCAAATGTGCTGAGCTTTCCAAGATGTAATCTTGCTTATTTTGTAATTTTGGCAAAATAGACAAAACTAGACTAGACTAGACTAGACTAGACAAAAAATTAAATGAAATAAATAAAATAAAATAAAATAAAATAAAATAAAATAAAATAAAATAAAATAAAATAAAATAAAATAAAATAAAATAAAATAAAATAAAATAAAATAAAATAAAATAAAATAAAATAAAATAACGTAATGTAACAGAACCTAATGCAACACAACACAATGCAACTCTGTGCAGCGCAATGCAACAGAACAGAACGCAAAGCAAAGCAAAGCAAAGCAAAAGCAAAAGCAAAAGCAAAAGCAAAGCAAAACAAGGTTACATGACTTCAGGATGCTCTAAAAAGCCATAAGTGCAGCCAAATGTGATCTGTTTGACCATCAGAACTTTGAATCCAGGTTATGGCTATGGCGATGTCCCTGTTAACTTTCACCTGTAACTTAACAACTGATTGTAACTCAAGAACTTGCAGGAACCAGTGATAATAAAGGAATCATTTTTTCCACAATCTTGTTGTGGCCTGTCAGCTGACAGTGGAGCTGGTGGCAGACACGAATGATGAGGAGGTTGGGGAGGAACTTGGGCCAGTTTTGGAGTCTGGGGAAGACTCTGATGGATGTTCTGTGTCGGAAGCAGAGATAGAGCCAGGGCTGTCTGACATTTCCCAGCTCCCAGAGAGGCAGCTGCCTATGGAAGCTGAATAAGTGAGGAGGAAGAACAACTGGGGCCTGTTCCAGATACGTGTATGCACAGAGCTGTTAGGAGAGAACAACTAAGGAGAAAGAGTCGACTTGGGATAAAGGCACATGTGGATCAGGGGTGAAATGTAAAATTTGTTACTACTGGTTCTGTGGGTGTGGCTTGGTGTGGGGGGAATAATGTGACAGGGTGGGCGTGGCCAACTTTTTTTTTTAACTTTTCAAAGTATTTTTTCTAATGCTTTGAAAAGCCTCTGCCGATCAGGCAACTCAGCTGGGATCGTCAGAGAGGCTTTTTTAAAAATGCCACTCTGCTGATCAGGCAACTCAGCTGGGATCGTAAGAGACTTTTCAAAGCATTTTTTTACCACCTCTTCGGCCAAGAGGTTACAGGAAAAAATGCTTTGAAAAGCCTCTGACGATCCCAGCTGAGCCGCATGATCATCAGAGGCTTTTTTTTTTTTTACTTTTAAAAGCATTTTTTTGTCGGAAGAGGTTGTAGAAAAAATATTTTTAAAAGTAAAAAAAAAAGCCTCTGATGATCGTGTGGCTCAGCTATTTGTCATTTTGGGGGATTTGAAGTGAGCTTTTTTTTTAAATCAAGTTTTATTGGTTTATTTTTCCCCCACATTCACCTACATCTTTTTTGAACAGAGTATTGGCCATATCTTATCTTATACAACTTATCAAATTCTAATACATTTTACTCAATTACAATTTTTGCCACAATTTTCTTTTTTCCCTTTTTTTAATCATATTTCAATATTTCTATGCTTACTTATATAAACAACATCTTCATTCGCCCTCAAATTCTAATTTTCCTGCTTATTCATATTTATTCTCTTTTATTTTCTAACCATTCATTCTTTATCTTAGTATATATGTTCGGGGTTGCCTTTGTTCCATTTCATCTTTTTTGTTGTACAGCAATCTTTCTTCTCAATCCTGCCATCTCCCTTTCTTCTTTCCTTCTTACTTTCTTTTTTCCTCCTCTCCTGCTCCTCTCTACTTCCTCTTCCTTTCTCCTTCTCCTCCTTTCTTCCTCCCTGTCTAGCCCACTCTCCTACTCTGATTTCCTCTCTCTTCCTTCCTCCCCTCTCTTCCATCCCTCTCTCTTCTCCCCCTCTCTTCCATCTCTCTACTCTCTACTCCTTTTTCATCTCTCTCTATTGCTGTATTCATTTTCAATTTAATATTTTCCACTATGGTGTTCAGGCAACCCCGATCTTTCTCATTTATTAAAAATATTACTCAAAATTCCCCTCCTCTTTTTAATTTTTAACAAATATTTCAACTGATTGCATTTTTTCCTTGAAACCTTTGTTAAAATAATCTTTCAACCCTTGCTTTTTTCCCTTTAACAATGTATTTCTTCTGTTTTACTTCTTACAAGTCTGTCATTTACATCATTTGCTAACATTTCATTTTCATTCAATTTTTCATTTCAATTTCAATTCCCATCTTAATTTCAATTAATTCTTTTGTTGCTTTTATTTCTCTCCACTTAGTGATTCCTCCAACATCAAAAACATAGTTCATTTTTTTTCACATTTCATCTACTGATCTATTTTACATTAAACGGTATTTTCACATATAATTTCTACAACATCCTTCTCTTTATTAACATATTAATATTTTCACTGACTCTTAACCATTTTCTTTTAAACTCTCCACAATCCATTTCTTGATGCTTTCCTCACTTTCTTTCATTCCCTTACTTTATTCCTCTTCTTTTCTTATATCTCCCTTTCTGCCTCTTTTCTTTAATTTTCACTCTGTTAATTTTCCCTCTCAATATTTTCCCATTTATTTCTCTTCTTTTCAGTTTTGAGATGTATTCTCTCTTATCCATTTTTATTCTATCACTGTTAATCCCAGTGTAATCATCTTTATTTTTATTTTCATTTATTTCCTTTTCAATATTTCCTCCTTGTTTCTCTTGCTTCTCATTCATCTTTTCTCTTTCTTTTTTCTTGCATTCTAACCAATTCTCTGCTTCCTTATTTCCCTTAAATGCTTCTCTTATTTTTCAAACATCTCCCTTAATATCTCACATTCATCCTCCCAATTCTCCATATTGTCACTTTAGAAGGCTAGAAATTTCCAATTTATTATTTTCATTTACTTATACTTCTAGTTTCAAAGTCCATGCAATATCTCCTTTTCTTTCCAGATAGTGTCCAGTTCAAATACTCACTTGAGCCATCACAATCTCAGTCCTCGTCTTCCCTGCTTCTCTTAATCTTTTCAGCTATATACTCCTATGGCTCTTTCCCACGATCTCTCCTCCAGCAGATGTCTCTCTTCAATTCACAACTCTTTTGGCAACAAAGTATCCATTTTATAACTCCAAGGGAATGCCCGTTTCCTCTCTTCTGAGTTAAATCTTTTTATTGTTTAAAAAATGTTCCTCTGTCTCCTTTTCCCTTGTCTTGTTTTTATTTCTTTGAAAATCCAATTTTAAATCCAAGTGGAAGATTCCTTTTAGGGCTTTTGTTTTCACTTTAAAGTTCCTTTTTTCCCCCTCCGCTTAAATTCCCAAGTGCAAATTAGCCGCTAATTGCTCGTTGGGACTTCTTTCGAGCTTTTAAAAGTTTTTTCTTCTTACCTGTGAGTTGGCCAATCACTCATCCGGTAACAATACTCTGTTC